ATATTAGTCAAATTATAAATGCAAAAAGAAGAAAAATCAAAATCAACAAAAGAAGACGGCAAGCAACTGACAGAACAAAACGGAGAGAGTAAACAAAAATGTGTTTTAATGGCTTTAGTAAGGGCAGATGGGGTCTTGAAATAAAGTAGGGTAGAAAAAGGTGGAGATTGGAGACTGGTTTTTGTCTTGAGTTTGCTTGTTGGTTTTGAGTCTCTTCATTTCTTCACTTTTGCAACATTATTGTGATTGAAAAACTATAAAAAGAAGTGCGAAGACATTCTGTTCCCTGCAAAATGAGGTAACTTACTCAACTAATAAAAACGTTTTTCAAAAGATTATAATTTTTTTTTCTTCTTTTTATTTTTGTGGATTAACTGACTTTAATACAAAACAGCTTATCCTCTCCCATAATTCCATATGTAAAAAAAATAAAAAATAAAAACTATAGAGAGAATGGGCCGAATCACGGCCCAGTTTAAATAGGATTAGATTGAATTAAAAGTAGCACATGTAAAACTACAACTGGGCCAGAAGGCCAAGACAGCTGGACTGTGAAAGTGGGCCGGTCCAGCAATAGATGCGGGAATATTCTCAAAATCCGTGAAACAATCCGGGTCGTTTGATTGCGTCGGTTCAGCCGTTGTGGAAATCAGCGAAATCACATGCTTTCTTTCTTTCATGATCGGGATATCATCACATCAAAATGATCTGTCGCTTTCGGTGACAAAAGTCAGTTGGCGGATACACTATAAAGCCCCAGGCTACCGTTCCAAGTGTCAGAAGACTTTTCGTCCAAGGCTTTATTTAATAAAAAAAAAATGTTAAACCTCCCATTTGATTTTTGAACTATTGTATGACTTTTGATTTGGTGTTTAAATTAAAAATTTTTTTTGATTTGATCTTTAAATGATTATACAGAACTTAATTTGGTCTCTATTATTTATCAATTTGCTCTAAATTAGTGTAAGAATAGGCCCAAGGTCCTTAACCTCAGATGTACTGTAACAATTCTTTAACAGCCAAAGTGAGATTAATTCCAGCACTTTTGGTCAAATGACTACATGGTAAATATAGTGGACATGTCCGCACCTGATCTGTCACATAATTTTTCGGTCCCAAATTTACCTCATTAAGGGACACGTCACACTTCGATTATCCTGCTAAGCAAGCCACGTGGATACCTCACAAAGGCCTATAAATACCCCCCATGGGCCACATCAAAAAAGTAATTGAAATCGACCTAAAACTTCTCTTTAATTATTCTAAAAAGATAGATCCGATTATTGCTAACTTAAGCATCGGAGTGTCTATCCCAATGACCCACCTCGGGGCTTTGTACGTTCATCCGAAGTGAAGACTTGGACTAAAGAAGAGCTTATGGTTTGGTGCAATTACATTGACGCCGTCTGTGGGAATGTCAATAACCTGAAAAAGTTTTACCCTTAATACACTTCTTTCAAGTGAACTCTGTCTTATTTTTATATTTACTATGTCACCCTCCTTTCTCACCAGCTTCTCTATCTCTTTCTCCTCATCTCTATTTAAACTATACTTATTCTAGTTGGCCTTTTTAGCCTTCCAGGTAGCTAGAGCCTCAACCTCTGCATCTCCCTTATCCCACTCGGTGTCATCAACAAAGAAAAATTTTTCCTTCCATCCCTTAATGGAGGAATGCCTTGCACTAAACAGGTTTCTTCTCTCTTTGTTGGATGACCAAGGTGTAAAGTAGTACCACCCCTTCTCCTTCCTACTGCCAACCTTAAACACAAAAAAGTGCTTAAACATGTTTACTGTGGGCACCTTAACCCCCCTAGCCCGGCAGTAAACTACAAACCCAATTATCACCCTCACTGCATTGGGCGATAATTGGGTTAAGCCTACACTATACTCTAATAGCAACCACACTAACAAATCAGGTAAAGGAAATCTAAGCCCTGCTGCCAAGTAATGGGCATACACTGGCATCCAGTGATCCTTGGGTGCAGAGCATGCCCTTTCTTTCACTCTAGCAGGCCTGATTAACACTCTAGAAGATATCTCGTAGCTTTCTACGAGATAACTCAGGCTATCCCTACCCCTGAGTTCAGATTCATACCCCTTTACCTCAGACACAATGTCTGCCCCACTATCATAACACTTATCCCTCCTATCTCCCACTTCCAAAATATTGACAGGCACCTCTTCACCCAACCTCAACTACCTCATTTCTCTCTACCCCCCCTCTGTCCGCTTAGACCCAGACGATTCACCCTCAATGCTCACATCATTGTACTCCAACATCCTTACCTCCTCGCTCCCCCCAATGCTCAATGTATCCTCAGAAGACATCTCTTCAGTCTCGTAACTTTCGCTACACGGAGTAGGGGGAGGGATGTAGTTAGGATCTTCAAAAAACTTTAACTTACGCTCAATATCACTTTCACTCTTAACCCTAACCTCTTTAAGAGGGCTTAAATCTAAATCAGAAAGGGTGAGAGGAGAATAAAGTTCACTACCAGAACTCGAATTACAAAAGTTCATAAGTTACCTGATTTCGATAGAGCAGAACAAGTTTTGAAGTCAAAAATGCGTCACACAAATCACTCACACAAACACTGTAGAAAATTTGGCAGCACTTCGGTAGCAAATTCGGAGAAAGCAAAACTCTTTTTACAGAAGTATAGCTTTATATACCAAAGGAAATATACGCTTCAACGGCTCTAATTAATTTCATCTAGCGGTCACGATTACACCTTTTCAAATTTGATGGTTAATCCCCAAGGGAAATCTCTGGGACTCGACGGTTCGTTTCCCGTCCTGTTCGCTTAACCGTGTAGTTACTTTTTTACAACCCGTATTTATTGTACACGTCTCTCGACAGACAACTGTCATGTCACATAATAACCCTACGTCAAACTTTTTAAACGGGTCCATTTAAGCCCACCTCAACACTTCTATATTTTTAACTTACAAATGTTTCACTTTGGCTCCGACCATAGTGACCTCATGTCACATATTTTACTTCATTTACGGCCATTATGACTCTGGTCATTATTTTTTACTTCGGCTCCGGTCATTATGACTCCGATCATTACTTTTTACTTTGGCTTCGGCCATTATGACTACGGTCATTACATTTTACTTTGGTTAAGGCCACTATGACTCCGGTCATCATTTTTTGCTACGGCCCCGGCCACTATGACTTTAGTCATCACTTCTTCCCATGTCCCCGGCCACTGCAACTCTGGTCATTATTTTCATTACTGCTCCGGCCATAATCATGCCGGTCGCACTTTGTTTTACGGTTACATATGAATTGGAGTTACCAATTTTTATCTTTGTAACTCACCTTTAACATGTTTATTCCCATTTATTTCTATTCCTGCACCTCTAACAACATCATTCACAAGTGAATGACT